TGAGTAGTAAGAAAAGTTCTTATGGTTCTGGTGTTTTGCTTAAAGATATTCACTGTATTAGTAAAAATTATGAAATATAATCGAAGAAAGTGAACTGTATCCTAGTAACAATTAGAGCACGAATATGAAGTATTGTTTTGATTAATACATATATGAAAAACTGAAGATAATTAATGGTGGAGCTATTTTGTTGTGAGAATGATTCTAGTTACACGCTAAGAATCTCAAGGCCTTGTTGGGGTTTTTTGAGTAGTAGGGTTTGTAATTAGTTAATAAATTAATCAGTAATCGATGTAGAGAGATTAAGAGAAAGCGGTCTTTTGAATCAATGATATGTAACTGCCAGCAGATGAGTCACGATGATCAATAATACGGGTCTGGACCTCTGAGGTCCAACACAAGAACAATTGCGGTCTTTCCGTGCATGCAGTGTCAAGTTTAGTGCCGTCTCTATTTTATTGCTCTGCTCTGTACTCTTCAGAAAGAGCACCCTAGAGATGATTTCAGCATCTTCCAAGGTCACGAGCTCTGTGGTTGCATCTTTGCATTAAAAGCATGGAGACCAAGTGAGTAATATCAATATTTTAGCCTGAGGAGCTTGTTTAAGCTTGTTACTGTATTATTCAAAATATTAAATATAATCAAAAAGGCAAAACATACTACTGTTAAATATTAGATTGATATGAAACATTACGTCAATGAATGCATAAATGTAATGGTATTATTTAAAATTGTTTGGTTAATAAAGTCTTAGCCATGTCTCAATGATAAGTATGACATGAAACATTTTAATTAATCGATAATGTGCAGGATTGAGATCTATTAATGAAAGAGTTGTAGCTCGTGTGGGAAATAATTCTGTAAACCGATGTTAGGGATAGTCAAGAATCTTGTTCTTGGGTTTTTATGAACTATGTATGATTTTTATTCTTATCAATGAATTCATGATTTAAATGATACAAATGTAGTAACGAATGAAGAAAAATAGACCAAATCATGTACCAGTGATGCCGACTGATGGAGTAGGAGTCACGGTCAGTGAAAATATGTGTCTTGAAACCCTGAGATCCAACCCAGAGCACAGTCCACATTAGTGGTGGAGATATTTTGTTTCTCTGTCAAAATTTATAAATATTAAGTGACAGATTAATAAATTAATAAATATTAAGTGACAGATTCCTCTGTCGAAATCGTTTCTATAATGAGACATCATAAATATATAAAAATTATATTCTCGTATTGATTTTATAGACATAGATTTGTGTTTATTAATGGAATAATGATAGACATATTAAACTAATATAAATAAATGTAATAAGAAAACTCGAGCGAAGCATTGTCCAATTATGAATGTATGTAGTGAGGCAAAAGATAATATTAATAAAATTGAAAACATTCATTTCTATTAAGAAATTAATGGATCAAGAAGTCACTTTTGTGGCTAAGGATCATATAGATACTAATAAGGAAAAATCAAGTTTTATTCCTTTGGGTCAGTCTCAAGATTGAGTTTTCCTTTTGTTAAGATAAAAAACACATATTAAGAAAAAGTAATAAATACCTAAATACTCAGTTAAAGAAATGCGGAAAGCAAGGATCAATGACAATTAGGTCTCAGTTTTTCGTTTTTGTTTTTTGTTTTTTATCATCCGCTCTGCTCTGTAATCCTTGGATGCTCTCGAGCTGAGTTAAACATCTTCCATGGTTGCCTACAAATAATAGGAGCCCAGAGATTAATATCAGGAATAGTTCAAGTTATTTTTTCGGTTTCCGTGTTGTTTTTAAAGGTAATTCGTTAAACAGTGCAAAATATATTTAAATGCAACTCTATTTCAGTGATAAATATGGGATATAGTTAACATATTTCTTAAGGTATATGAGAAAAACAGTAATTAATGAGAAATATATTGTGAAAATAATTCTCTATATAGAGACATAAAAGCTTTTCTTGAGTTTTTGTGAAGTATAGCATTAAAAACTATTACTAGTGAAATAATTATGTAATCAATAAACTCTTAGAAATGAATGAAGAAAAAGGACAATATTGGATCAATGTAACCACTGATGTCATATGTGTCATATATGATGAATACATGTTGGGAACTCTGAGGTCCAAAATGGAAGAAATCTAGTTCAGTGTCTCTGTTTGAACTGACCCTTTAAACTGATCTCAGAAATGTATAAGGACAAATATTATTTTAATTCAGAATGGACAGTAAATAAATAGACCATGTGTATTTTGTCCAGCGTATTTTGTCCTTAAAGAGAAGACAATAGAATATTGTAAGTAATAGTTATAGCCGTGAGTCAGTTTCAAGTTTGACATTTAACTTATTAAGAAAAAAACATATTAATATAATTTAATAAATACCCGAATGATCATGTAAATGAGTGGTGTAATTTGTGGTATAATCAATGGATAGAATGTCTCAAATTTTTTTAATCCTCTTCTCCGCTCTTCACTCCTTTAATGGACACACTGGAGCTTATTTAAGGGCTCTTCACGGTCATGATCTCTACGTTTGCATCTGTGAAGTAGGAGCCTGGAGACCTATGTAATAGTCAATGCTCTTGTCTTGGTTTGAGTGATTCAAAAAGGCCACCCATGCCAGTGTTTAATATCAGATTGATATAAAGCATCACATTGATTAACCCCTAAAGAAACAAATACCACTAATATAACAGTGTATATCAACTATATTCAAATAAAGAAAAGGATTTAGTCTCTTTGCGAATGATACTATTTATGAATGTTAGGGAGATTGAAGGATCTTATTTTCATGTGTATAATTTATGTGTATTTTTTTATTAATGAATTAATCAATAAAAATGTAGATGAGAATGGACACAAAGATGGCCAATTATGGACTAATGATGTCAACTGATTGTATATGAGTCATGGATGCTGATAACATGAGTGTGGAACTCTGAGGGCCAACTCAAAAAGAATCAAGTCTATTCCTCAGATTTTAAGTAATACTGTAAATAGGTTTCAGGATTATTAGTGATATTTTTCTTGGCCTTAGTGCTTTATTTTTAAAATAATAAAAGAATCAATGACAGAATAAATTAGCAAAAATATATATACATGAATAAAGATGAAGAGGGTGAAACACCATTCATTATTAAAATATGTAGTCAATAAAATGAGTATTAATATGCATTGGAATGAATGATAAATGGACCAAGTATCTTATGTCATGGGCTGAGGATGATGTAGACAGTGATAGGTAGTCGTTTATTGCCCTCAGATAGTTACAAGTTTGAAGTTTATGAAGAGAAAAAATAAATTTTACCATAAATTATTAAATACCTAAATGATTATGTAAATGAAGTATGGCTCTTATAGATTATAGAGACAATGTCTCAATCTTTTCATCATCTTTTCTGCTTGATAATCTTCAGAAACAAAGCACTGAGTTGACTTAAGCCTTCTTCCATAAACGAAGCCTCTGTTTTTGGAAAGACACCAAGGTGTGTAATAGTCAAGTTTTTGTCTTGGTTTTGGTCATTTGCTTATGGATCTCTGGTATTATTAAAAAGTATTAAGTATAATTTAAAAAGTTACCTACTGCCAATTGATTAATATGATATGAAATTCCGATTAATTGATAATGTGCACCATTGGAATTGCTTAATGAAAAAAATAGAGTGTATTGGGAAAGATTTCTATTGATAGATGTTAGGGATATTCAAGGATTTTGTCCTTGTGCTTTTGTAAATCATGTATGTTTTACTATTATCAGTGAATTAATGATTTAATTGATACAAATTTAGATATGAATGAGGGAACAGAGGGCCTCACAGGGACCAGTAATGATGACTGGTGACATGTAAGTCACGACGATGAATAATACATGTGTGGAACTATGAGGTTCAACACAAAACATAATCAGTGTCTTCCCTCTGCTAGAAATGCTCCTGTAGACAGAAGTCAGAAACATACTAAGATCATGCTCTTATTTTGGATTCATAGATTTGGATTTACTATTATTAATGAATCAATGATAGAAATATTAAAATATATAAATAGATACATTGGAAGAAGGTAGAGCCTTTTTCAATGGCGAACATATGTAACGAAGCAAAAAGTGTTACTAATAAAAATTGAAAACACGGATATTCATTAAGAAATAAGTGGATTAAGAATGTTACCTTTTTGATGTATCTTAAGGTGACACTGTTCAGTAAGAGTCGTTTTTATTGTTTCATTGTTCACAGGCTCTATAGTTACATCTATGCATTAGGAGCATAGAGGCAAGGTGAGTAATAGAGTTCTTGTCAGTTTCAATGTTTTGTTTTTTTTAAAAAAGGTGGTTACCGTATTATTTTAAAAGTATGAAATGTTATCATTGAAGGTCAACCATGGCCCAGTCATAAATATGGGCTTAATTTGACGTGTCATTGTAATTTGTAGATGTGACATAGAGGTCAGGTAACGAAAGAGATGTATTGCCATGAATAATAATTCTATAACAGGCGTTAGAGATATTTAAGGATCTTACCCTCAAGTTTTGTGATTTAGGTATATATTTTCTTATTAATGACTTGATTAGCAAATAAAAAACATATAGACATAAATTTAAAAAATTAAGGCCAAATCTGGATCAGCGATGACCACTGGTGGCATGAGTCACGGATGATGGCTCCTATGTGTCTGGACATGTGGTCTGTTCCTCTATTGGAAGAAATCCCATAGGTGGATGTTAGAGATATTTAAGGATCTTGTGCTTCTCATTTATGGCTCATGGATTATGATTATATTCATATAAAAGAATAAATGGAAGAATTAATAAAAATACTTAAATGATTAAAGTAGAAGAGAGTGAGGCATAGTCCCATTATTAAAATATGTGGTAAGGAAATAAATACTGTTAATATAATGTGGAATGGATAATAAGTGGACCCAAGGGTATTAGCCCTTTGGATAAGGATCGCAAAGCCATCAATCAGTAATAATCAGTGTATTGTTTTGTATCAGTTATCAGTTCGACAGTTGTCATATTAAGAGAGAGTAAGCAAATATATTACCTAAATTAATAAATATTAAGTGACTGAGTAAATGAATGGTGGAATGCAAAGGACCAATGGATAGAACTTCTCAAATTGTATCCTCTGCTCTTTCTTGTGCTCCTCAGAATGGGCGCTCCCGCCCGCAGATTAACATCCTGCCATGCCTCAGACTCAGTGGTTGTCTTAGGAGCACGAGGACCAGTGAGAGTCAAAAGTCGAAGTTCTTGTCTTGGTTTTGATGGTTTATGATTGGTCAGTGATTGGACGTGGTTTCATAGTGTAGCAGTTAGCACGTCTGCTTTACTGCTTTAATAAGGCCTTGTTCACGCCCCAGGGGAGCCACGGTCCATGGTCTATGGCCATGCCACCCTGAACAAGCCCAATATCTGATCTTGGAAGCTAAGGAGGGTCGGGCCTGGTTAGTACTTGGATGGGAGACCACCTAGGAAGACCAGGTGCTGTAGGCAAAAAAAAAAAAAAAATTGATCGATGAGTTTGTTAACCAATGTCAATAAAAGAAATTAATTAAAAATGTAAAAAGTAAAAAAAATAATTGGTCAATGCATTATTAAGAATAAAGAAATCTAAACAAAGAGGGCTAAACATAGTCTGATGATGAATACGAGATCAATAGGAACCATGTTGAGGCATCCATATATAAAACACTGAGGCTAATTCTAGAAACTGATCTAACATTTGTGGGAAACGATTTTATAGATGGGCATTAGGGATTTCAAGACTCTTATCTTGGGGTTTCTTATTCACGTATATTTCTTCATTAGTAAGCAGTAAATTTGTGAGTAAATCAATAGACAATAAAAGAAGAAAAAGAGTCACGTGTTTGGACCATTGATAGATAATGACTGTGATTCTGAGTTAAGGGTGATGAATGTCATGTGTCTGGATATCTGAAGCCCAACGCAGAAAAAAGTCTAGTCCTCTGCTCCTTTGGATGTGATTCTATAGGCGGTCGTTAGGGATATTCAGTTAGCCTGGTCTCGAGCTTTTGTGGTTCATGGATAATGGTTGTATTGTTACAAGTGAATTGATGTGTGAAGGGTTTAACAAATAAGAATACTTGAATGAAAACGTGGCCACACCTGGACCAATTCTAGCATATGTAATGAACAAGTGTCAGTCTACTTTTGAGGAGCTGGAATTCATGTTTTTTTAATCTCTCAGCATTCAGCACATATACACAGGTGTATGAATCGTCAGTATTCACATTCTGGGATGTCTTTGGTCGACTGGCTGTTTATTTTATTACTACGTAGAAAAAAAAAAGCTTATAAAATTAAATAAAATATTAAGCACTATTTAAATGAAAGAGGGCCAGCGATAAGAGTTTGTTAAATCGCATGATGAAGTTACAGCATCTGTTTTCACTTTGGTAATGAGTAACTACTGCTCGTGCGTTCCCGTTACTGGAACGCACTTTTGTAAAGATGTTGACTTCATTCTTAAGCGAATAAGCAAATACGATAATAACAGTAGCTCAAAGGGACAAAGCATGGGCCAGTAATGAACGTGTCTTGAAATAATGGTGATGATTTTAACCAGTTGCACTCAGAAGATAACCTTCTCAAGACAAAAACTTGGCTCTTGAAACTTTGGGCGGTGAGAACACAGATGCACACACAGTAGCGTTTCTCGTCTGCGTTTCTGAGAGTTTAAATATTGTTCCATTTCTTTCAAAAGAATGACTGGTTGTCCAAATTAATTATGGATGCATGAATGAATAAAGTAGAATTAAGCATCGTTCATTGGTGTGAAATTGCCTTGAAATAAGTGTTTAGATGAATCTGATTCTGCACCAGTGAGGCGCAAAGATTTCGGGAGTTATATGTGCCCATGGAAGCATCGAGACCCATATGTCTCACAGGCAGCTCTTGTTCTTCATTCAGGTGTTGAATTCAAAAGCATCCATTTTTTAATGTAAAATTAATCATTCGATTAACCTGATTAAAAAAGAAGGTTTTTATTTTTTATTTTTTGCCAATTGTAGCAGATGTCCAAAGTTTAAGATTAATTGAAACCTGCCTACCTTGTCTGTGTTAGGGTATTAGAGCAACGTTGAAATCTGAGATGTTTCATTCTGTTTAACATTTGCCTTGTAGTCCCCAAAATGGTCCCCGGGGATGGTGGCTTTGGCTGGTGAGTCTTGGGGTAAGAAGCCCACAGGCCTATGTCAGCAGCACACGCGGTCTTGTCCTTGGTGCCTGGCTCGATCATGCATTTGCAGACAAAATTTGAAAAGACCAGGCACGAGAATGTGTTGCGCACCAAGAATTAGGTTGTGTCCAGTTAGTACAATAGTCGAATTATATTATTTTTCATGTAATCCTGGAACGCTGAGGTTTATTAATAAATAAACAAGTTATCTCTTTGATAAAGGTTATTTATACAGAGGACAGGAAGAGTTGGTGTTCTTGGTCTGGGTCAGTGGTGAATTCTAATTTGTTTATTTTATTAAGAAAAATAGAAATAAATAATTCCATTAATCAATATGTAAACAGCAAGTAAATCAAGGGGGAAACGAGTCAATGGAGAAAGTTTCTTATCTCTTTCCAAAGCAAGAGATACCCTCACATATTTTATTTAAAACTTTTAAAGTTATAAAAGAATGCATATGCATTTTCCTTTTACCCCTATCTGTTTTCCACTCAGAACGGATGCACTCGAGCTGATTTTCTGTAATGATCAAGACTCTGTTGGGTCAATGTAAGTAATAATTCAAGTTCCTTTCTTTGTGGGGGCAGCCTGTTTAGGGTACTCAGTGTGTGAATATAAAAGTATGAAATACAGTCAGAGGAGGCCGAATTAGGACCAATGATGAGATTATGTTATAAACCAAAGTTCTCAATGAATCTGATTTAGCACAACAGATGCCCTTTTAAAAAGTTCTAACCTCTTAGTTCTGGGCATAAGGGACATAGGGTCAATTGCCTGTAACACCCATAGTTTTTCTTATGTAGAGTAGTTCATCGAAGGATGTTCATTATATTATTTAAATGGATAACTAGGAGCAGTAATAAAATGGAGGTCCATTCATAAACTAAAGATAAGAAGGGGACATAAACGATTGTTTATGATTATTTTCTGTCACGGTTACCCTATATTTACTAAATGAAAACCTAAATCTAGGCCTTTTCATTTGTCAGCATCCTCTTTACATTCCACAGGATGGATACAGCAGAGCTAGTATTCTCCAGTCGTGAAGATCTTTGCTTTATTCCTCTGGGGGAGGAGCCGATTAGGCCATGTAAGTAATAAAGTTCTTGGTTCGAGTGGTTAGTTCATGGGTTTCCATTATATCATTAAAAAAGAATAAGTGTAATTAAAATTTTAAATGCCATGTACAGCCTTTTGATGAGGATGTATTAGGAACCAAAATTTACGATTAATTCAATTGAACACAAACGATGAACAAGAAAAAAATTAACTTCTCCTATTCATTTCAAAACTTAAATGTCCCGTTTCATCTTTGTCTCACTGATTATTTAAATATCCCTCCTCTGATAAAGATCTAGGATGTTGCTCATTGGGGAGTCTCGATCTTAGTTGTTGAGTAGGATGGTGGTTCATGGTTGTTCATTGAAACATCTAAAAATTGTTCATATTAAATGCAGAAGGGCCATCCCTGGACCAGTGATGTGACTGGAATGCATCTGAATAAGAATTATGATCAATCACTTTTTGAACCACTGAGGTCCATTGCAAAAAGAGGACTAGTGTATGACTTATTTTGGTAATGATCTCAGAAAGTTTGAGAACCTAGGTGAGAGAGTTCATAGGTATTGATTTAATATTATTAGTAAATAAATGAATGGATCAATAAATATATTCATTAGTAAAGTAAATTGACCCAAAACATGGATCGATTGTGAAGATACAAAACAGGGACTTATTCATTCATTTCTGAAATTCCTTGGCTCATTAAGAAAAAGATGAAGTTGTTACCACTTGTGTAAGAAGCAGTTAGATAGAGGTATTTAATAGTCAGTGTTCTGCATTTAGTTTGCAGTGGGTTCCTAGATGTTAGATCTTGAAGAAAAAACATTAAAACAGTTAACTAAGTGAATCAGTGTAAAATGCGAACCAACGATGAGTGTATTTTCTTCTGATTTTTTTATATCTGTTTCGTATCCGCAGAATGGCTGCCCCTCAGCTGTTTTAGTCATTATTTGATGATGGAGATCTTAACTCTTACCTGTGTGGCCAAGGACAGTATAGATCAGGGTAAGTGATAAATTAAGTTTTTATTCTTGATTTGGTCATTTTGTTTATGGATGATGACTACATTATCTAAAAAGAACAAATGGCCTCATGCAATCATAAAATCAAATCAAAGAAGACCGTGCATGGACCAATAAGAATTTGTCTTGCCAAAGGTCATAGTTAATTCATTTCACAAAACCGAGGTCTGTTAAAAAAAATAGGTTGAGACTACTACCTCTTAAATTAAGAAGATTATAGACACATTTTAAGGCCAAAGATTTTGTTCTTGGGTTGGGTTTTTGTTATTAAACAAATAAAAAGTAAATATACTAGTCAAATTTCATTGTCCACTCATGGTCAATGATGTGATTATTCATGAAACAAGAATTTGTTTAGCTTGGCTTAGGTATTTTACCATTCCTTTTGAGGAGGACGTCGAGAGATTGAAATAATAGTAGGATTTTCCCCTCTTGTTCAGATGTAGATTCTTTGCTGTTGACTTCATTTTTGAAAACTAGTACCTGACCAAAATAATAAACAAGGGAAAATCCATTATAAAGAAAATTAGAATGACCAAGAGTTTTCCAATGATAAAATTTTACAAAATAAGAATTATGATCAATTCAATTTTGCTTCTCTGAGATCCATTTAACCTAAAAGATTTAATCTGTTATCCCCATGTATACTGAGGACAGAGATAGATGTTAAAATAGGCACTGGTTTTTTTTTCTGATGTTGTTGTTACCATTATTATTGTTATTTTTGTTTAGTAAATCAATCTATGAAAAACTAAATTATAAGAGGCAAAGTCATGGACCAGCGATGAAAATGTGTTTTGAAACAAGGATTATGATTATTACAGTTCCGCACTCACTACTGACATTTATGATCTAAAACATTTATCCTTTTATATCTTTGTTTTAATGGTATATAGTATGTAGCACTACTCTTCATGAGGTACTAAAATAATTTGGATATTTTTACATGCTACTTAAATGGATTATTTTTCTCCCTATCTCATGCGAAAATAACATTGACCTGATTTATTTGGAGATGGTGGCAGGAGGTCCTTATACCCCGTATTTTAAAATGTTCTGGCACTTTGGTATTTGAAGGAGTGCCAAGATAACTGATATGAAGGTATTCATTTCAGCTCTGACCCGAATCCGTGCAGGGCTCTGTGTTGGTCGTGGATTCATCTCTGAATCCCATTTAGTTCAAAGAGTGCTTTGGGACTAGGTGGAAATGTATTTATAAATGTCACAATTCAACATAATAGAGCAAGTAGATGGACTTTCTGGAGCACAGAAGGCGGGCCCTCAGCTCAGTCTTAAATGTTAGATGTTTCACGGAAGACATGGCACCTGAGCTGATGACGAGCTCACTAGGCTGTGAGCTCCATGAAGCCAGAAACCATATTCGCCTGCTCACTGCGCCTAGCACATAGAGCACATAGAGCACATGTCGCACATAATCAACACTTGTTGAGGGAGTAGTTGAGTAAGTGATGAATGAGATAAAGAATGAATGAAAGAATGAGTCTTTGGGTAAACAAAGGAATGAAGGAAATGAATGAAAATGTGAAGGAGCACACAAGTGAGCGAACAGAGAGACAATGAGTTAAGTAAATCAATAAGTCCATAGGTGCATGATGAATTATCGAGTGGATGCGTTAATCTGTAAATAAAAATGTCAAAACAGAATGAATGAAAATAGATCGGTGAGTCAATAAGTGAAAGATGAGTACACAAATGGCTGAGTGAATAAATAAGCAAATCTCTTAATGAGTTTACAAATGAATGGACAGTTTAGGTTAATCAGTAATAAATGAATGAATGAATCAATGATTAATAAGTAAAAAAGTGAGTGAGTGAATATATGGATAAATCAATGAAAAAGGAAAAAGTTGACTAATTTAACTAATGGATAAATAAGTCAAAGAATGAAACAAATTAATAAGGGAAAGAATAGGTAAATGGATGGAGGAATGAACGTATTAGAGTGAACGAATTAGAGCGTGAGTAAATGAGTCAAGGAATTAGTATGTAATTTGAGAATAAATTAACTACTCTATGAGTGAATGAATGAATGAATAAGCGGATGAGTCAATAAGTGAGGGGGTCAGTCACCGAAGGAGTGAAGCGGTCATTGATCCACATGTGAGGCAACCAGTGAACGAACTCACACGGCGACTTCTTCTCTGACCCCTCCAAAGAGCCAGCCACACCCCAGCTTCAGCACACTGTACATACCTCACCCAGATCGCCGGTCCTACTCTGTCATGGGTGTTAGTTTACAAGGCATCGCTGAACTGACATGCCCTGGGTCAGGTTCATCTCTGGATCCCCAGTGCCTGTCCAGCCCTGAGCCCGGGAGGCACCCAGTGAATTACTGCTGAGCGAGTGAACGAGTAGCTAAGGATACATGTGCTTTCGTGGAACCACGGGGGCCCTTCTCAGGATGGCCTAGGAGCCGTTCTGTGGGGAAGCGGGTTGTGTGTTGGATGGTCTGTGACATCCTCCTACACAAGGCCAGATTCTCCCTGGAGTCCAGCTTCCTGTGTCCGGTGCCAGGCAGCGAGATGGGCTGCTGGCAGTCCTGACTGCGCTGGACATCAGCCCGTCCTTGGGCAACGGTGGCTTGGCACGGTGCAGTGGGAGCCTTGGGTCTTCCCGAAAGCTGCCCCAGCCTTGGCCAAGACAGGAGATCGAAAGTAACCCAGTCCTGTTTTCGTGTCCCCTGTGAGTGGGCCAGCCCGCTCCTCGCCTTTCCGCTCAAACCGGGTTCCTCCTGGTTCTAGTTGTGGGACTTCAGGTTAGATGTGCAGCTCCCTGGACCCAGCCTCGGCTCTGTCTGTTAGGTGAGGGTTACGACGCCCACCTGCTGGATTGCGGTGGGAGTTGAACTCGTCTATTGAGAGCTCACTGTGAAGGTCCTTCCATGATATAGTACCTGTCCGACATACTAGTCCCTCGGAGGGAATAGCTGCCTCGGAAATAACCCAGACTAGTTGTAATGGATGGTTTCAATCTCATTTATTTAAAAGCTCGCAGATGGTTGTGATACTCAAATACCCCTGTCCCAGAAGTTCTACTAAGTTCTGGAAGAATGCCACTTTGGGTGGATGGGCCAGCCCAGACCACTCCGTTAAGGCAGCATAACATGACCTTCTCCTAGGGATGGAAAACGAGAAGAGTGAATCGGGAACACCTTTGCTCTGTGTGGGGCCTTTGCCCCCAACGCTCCTTCCCTCCCCTCCCCCCCCACCCCAGTTATATGTTCAGCGCCCATTCTGTGCCTGACACTGACCACTCCTCTTCCTCTCTCGTCTTGGGCAGCTCCTGACCCCGGATTTCACCTGCCGTTCCTGGCTCGCATCCGTCCTCCGTCGCCGACTTGGAATGTGGCCCTCTCCTTCGTGAGGATTTGATTTCGACACAAACCCTTGGCCTTGGCCTTGCTGCTTCAGACCGAATCAGGTAGACGTCCCTCCTTAACCATGGGCTTCTGTGACCCAGACTTTGAGTCCGCTGGTTGGCGCTCTCCCATCTGGACCAGCACCAGCCCCTCCTGCGAGAGGCGAGGCCGCAGCAGCAGGTGGCGGGGACGGGCCCACACCGATGGCTGTGGGCCAGAACCTAAGATTTGGCTGACGAGTGAGTGCACACAGGACAGAAGAGTTGAGTCTCGCATTGCCCTGAATTCGTGGGTAAAGCCGTATATTGAACTCACAGTATCCAACAACTTCCAATGAGTATTAGTCTGGTACTTTCCATTGGCTGCTCAGCTCTGTGCTAAGCCGGCCCAGATGTCACCTGCCGTTCACAGTGTCACAATCCCTCGCCCTCATTTTTGGCTTCCCACAGCCCTTTGTCCCCACCTGTCATTTTTTACTCATCCGTTCCTCGCCCATACCCTGACAGAGCCCATGTTCCGTTACCAATGAAGAGCTGCCCATTTCTCCCAAACGACTGTGAACTTCTTGAGGACAAGAGTTCTTTTTTGTGTCACTCTGGCCCATCGGTAGGTCAGGGGATCAGGAAATCTCTGGGGAATCCATCGTTCGTTCTTTAACTTATGAAAAACATGCTGGGCCCATTCTGCGGTGCCAGAGCCGGGCTCAGAGATGATGCAGGAAACAAGCCGAGTCCCATCTCCGCCCTAGAGAAGCTCAGGCCTCGGCTGGGAGGTGGGTTTTAAGCAAAGATGGCAGAATTACTCCGTCACCGTCGTGGTCAGCACTGTGAAGCCAGGGTGCCGGGGGCCACATCGTCTTGCCACCAGGCTGGTCGCGGCCCTCATTATGAGTTCCCTCTGCCCTGTTCTGTGGTTCGGGGGACGCTAAAAGGCTGTAGCCATGATCAGAGCTGGTTGGCCACTTGGGCTTCCTGAGGTCAGGTCAGTGGGGTCTTCGGACATCTTCGGAGGAAAGAGAGGTGGGTAGATTTTCGCACTCGTGGCCTTGGGTGCCACCTGGCAGCCCCTCCCCGAGTCCGCATGTGACAAGCTCGTCCTCTTGTCCTCAGGCTGCTCTCTAGCTGGAGGGAGGAATTCACCACACGCAGAAATGTTATGTGGCACGAACTTGACCTCCGTTCAGAGACCTCTCCTGTTGCTTGTTTCAGGACCTGTTTAGGTGTCTACCTTCCCAAGCAGACCTGAGCTCCGCGATTATGGGTGCTTGGTCTTGGGGGCCTCAGGCCCACCCCGCACCTCCCATTCCAGAACCTGTGCAGCGTGGCTGGTCGAATGAAAGAATGAATAAATGCACAAAAGGATGATTGTCAGGGCATGCTGGGGGACAAATCGTATCCCTGGCAGAGAACGGGGGTCGTTGGCCCAGAGGACTCGCACCCCCTCACTACGAGGCCTGTCCCCCTTCTCCAGCCGACCCCACTTTGCCTCTGCCCGTGACTCATTAAGAGATATGTAACCTTAATCCCTGAAATTGCCTGGAGTGGAGCATTTTTCAGCCCACGGCGCCAACGTGGGGGTTCTATTCCTTCCTTAAATAAATCTCGCTCCCCCAGGAAGTTCGGGCGGGATGTGGGCGGTCGGCCTCCGGCTCGAAAGCGAACATTGTGCACAGGGCCCGCTTCAAAATTTGAAACCCCGTGGCCCCTGGCCAGAGCCGAGTCTGGTTTGTGGGGGTCGCTGGGGCCTCCTCTCGGCGAGGGGAAGGGAACATTGAAAACAAACCTTCGAGCCTCGCGGCAGGCTGTCCCACTGTCCCCGCTGTCCTCAGTGAGTGGACACCGGCTCCGGGCGGGGAGCCTCTGCCGTCTCTCATCCTCTTTTGACTTCTTCCTCTTTCTCTTTTCTGCCAGGAGAGACAGCAGTTTGTGCCTCTGGACAAGTCCCCGGAGCCCTCCCAGTGCCCCGCCCCTCGTTTGTCACAGGGAAGTAGATTTCATTCGTTCATTCCGCAGGGCTCTCCGTGCGCGGCCCCGGTGCGGGCGCAGGTCCGGCTCGGGGAGCCGGGGTCCGCCCCGCAGGCCATGCTGGCGGGCCGGGAGTCTGCACCCCGAGCTTCGTGCTCTGGACGCGCGCCACTGCCCCAGCGCACAGCACCTGCCGTCCCTGTCACGCTGCTTGCCTTGTCGTCCCCACGTCTTCCCTCTCAGCCTCCCCAGGCTCACGGGGGACCTCAGTGTCCTCTGGGGACCTTCACGGAGGGTGACTTTCCTCCTTCCCTCCATCGGAGCCTTGAGCTGGAGCCAATGACTGCCCAGCTTAGTTAGCCTCAGTTTCCCCACCTGTAAAAATGGAAGAAGGATGAGGACACGAATCTCTGCCATGGCCGCTGGGCCTGCCGGGGAGAGAGAAGGGTTTCTGTTGTGGAACCCTAGTCCCGACCCCTTCTCCTCTGTCCCATCCAGGCCCCTGATCCTCACTCGTAATTTGGGGGCCAGTTTGTCATATTTTCTTCCCCTTCAGAGCTGAGGCTTCTCCTACCAACACGTGCTTTCTCAATACGATCAAGTAAAACCTGGCCCACTAGCCTGGCGGGGCGGGACCCCACCCAGCAGGTGATCCTGGTGTCAGCGGGAACCGGGGAGTCCACCAGCTGGAGCTGCTGGCGGCCGCCCAGAGGGGACGAAGGCCTGGCGCACGTGTCCTTGCCTCGGCCTCCCTTTGCTCAGTGGTCCCCCCGCCTCCGCTGCCCCCAGGCGCTGCTGGGCTCCCGGCCTCATTTTCTGACAGGCCCTCCCGCGGGGCTTTTTGGGGAACCCCAGACTGGAGTTTGGACTTCTTTAAGGGCCATTTGTCATCTCTCTCTGCCCCTGGGGTCCCTCTGCTGCTGCCTTTCAACTCTAGACCCCCATCCCCTCTCCTCCATGCCCATCTCTCATATATGTACCCTTTGCATGGTCCCTCTTCCCGCCCCCCGCCCCCAAATCCCACCGCTCTGCAAGCCGCCTATCCAGTCACTTAGTCCCCCGGTGAGCCGTGGGCCCATGTCTTTGGTTCAGCTGTTTATACAGCTGGCACGTGGCTTGAAGCAGCCACACCTGAGCCGCAGGTGAGGTCACTGAGGATGGTCCCTGAGCTGCCTCTCCCAGGCTCTTTCTCCTGGCCACCCCTTCTCGGGGACTGAGGCCACCTGCCCGGAGGAAGAGCAGGCAGAGCAACGAGCGAGGGGAGCTGGGTTGGCTGGAAGATGAGGCCATACTACATAGTGGCCGTTATCTGGGGTGCAACTGGGCGTGAAGCGAAGTCGTTTTACGAGCTGGAAAGTGCTGGGCAGATGTTGGAGAAATGAGGCGGGGAGAGACCCTTCTTGGACCCTCGGCCCGCCTCCACGTGGCCCCCCAGGGAGCCACCCCTCCCCCATGTTGCGAGCCTGTTGGTGGGTGCTGCTGCATTTGCCACCTCACTAAAGGGCCAGAGTCGCGGGGGCCACATCACCGGCCCCCTCACGGACAAGGAAGCTCTGATGGGCGCAGCAAGGCCCGCTCGGCCCCACGTCCAGGGCGTGCCCCATGCCCCGCAGTGGCCCCGTCTCCACTTGTCCCTCCTGGGCGCACGGGTGGAGGGTGGAGAGTAAGGGCTGCTCCGCGCAGAGCCTGAGTGCGGGGAGGGCTTTGGGTGCTGAGGGCACCGAAGCTCATGTTTACGGTTTGCTCATCGGAAGGCAAGAACTTACACTCTCCTGGCCAAGTCTGCCATTCGGCAACCTTTCATAAAAGCCCTGCAGGGAAGCTTCTGGAAAACTCCCTTCCTGCTTCTGACAGTTGCCCCAAACAGCATGTTTCAAAATGCGCAGAACACGTGGGCTGCGGAGCTCAGAGCTCGCTCTGGCCCGGCCGTCAGGGCGGTGGGCGCACAGCTACCGTCGCACTGCCTAGGCTTGCCCCTGCCCACTTGTCCCCAGACTCCCACTTCCGTGACCGTGGGGAGAGCCTTAAATGGGTGCTCGTCTGTCTGTGGTTGAGACCAGCCCATTTCTTGCACGGCAGAGAGAACCTGGCCGAGCTTAGCTCCTGGGCCAGAGCGGGGTGGCCCGGACCACGCTGATCGGAGCAGGGAGTGCGTGGCTGGAGCACAGCCCCCCAGTCCAGTCTGCGGTGTGGCCAGCGTGGGTCTCAGCCTCCAGTGTCAGGGCTGGTGGGGGGCTGCACGACCATGGGGCTGTGTTTCAGGAGGTCCCCAGCACAGGGAGGTCCCCAAAGCTGTGGCTTGGTTCTGTGATAGGTTTATAGATGGGCATTAAAGCCTTAAAAAGTTGATTAAAAACGTTATAAAAAGAGACTTCATGGACCAGTGAAGGCTGGTGTCACAGAATAAGGACTGCGATCAGTCCACCTCTGTGTTTACCTGAGGTCGCAGACAATAACAGTGACACTAACAACAGCAAGGATGCCACGAGCTGAAATCCGAGAGCCCGAGTCTGCCAGGCCGGCCCCATGGGGCCCCTGTGTTCCTTATCTCCGCAGACTCCCAGTGAGACCAGAAACCGAGGTCGTCGGCCTCTCCTCCCTCTCCTCCACCCTGCTCCAGCCTGAGTGCCCCGCAACCCCCATTCACACCTCCTAGCAGCTCTGTCACACTGGGAAGGTGTCCCTGCCACCCCAGCCCCAACTGGAGCACAAGACCTGCCCCGTACAGAACTCCCGTGCTTAGTCCCAAAGCGGCCGTGCTACCCGGGATGATGAGTACCCTGCGGGCAGGACCAGGCTCTGCTCCAGCTCCTGTCCCCGTGACGGGCCTCCCATTCTCAGACCGCCCTGTCCAGGAGTGTCGACACGTTCCCCGAGCCCTGTAGGTGAGGCATGTGCTCAAACAGCTGGGTTTGGTTTTGTGACTTGACCCTCTTGTCTCGAAAGGTCATTGCCACCGAGCCCCGGAGGTGTGGGTGCTTGAGCGCAAGGCTGCTGAAGAGGACGCCTCTGATGGTGGAGCTGTCACTTCCTGGGTGAGTCCCACATTTCCTGGTGACATTCTACAAAGCACATGTATCTGTGAGCAAGGGCCAGAGTGGACTAGACGCTTGAGCGCAAGGCTGCTGAAGAGAGGATGCCTCTGATGGTGAAGCTGTCACTTCCTGGGTGAGTCCCGCATTTCCTGGTGACATTCTACATGTATCTGTGAGCAAGGGCCAGAGTGGACTAGATCATGTAAAGACAGTAGGTGACCGGAGATGGGCCTCACCCACCTGGAGCACGGCAGGCAGAGGCTGGCCCTGTTCTGGCAGCCGCTTCTCTGAGTGGAGGGCAGGGCAAGCCAGAGAAGCTGCTCACAAGTTGCCCGAGGCACCCCCAGGGAGAGGGCAAGCATAGAGGAGGCCGGCAGGGCTCGACCCGTCAGCTGTCCCTTGTCTCTGGTCCCACCCAAGTGGTGGGGCCACGTTTGCGTCCCAGCTGACCAGACCCTAGAGCTGTTATTGGCAGCGCGAGTTGGGCGCAGGGTACCTTCACACTCCTGCTTTGAGAGAAAAGTGAGTCTCTCAAAAGTGATGCTGATCGCTGCATTTTTGTGAGCTCATTACTGTAAAGGAGAATGCAGTTCGTGGGGGGCCATGTGAGTTTTCCCAATAAAGTACTCTAAGCCAATAACTAAAATTTGTTGAACATAAAAATTCTAAAAAATAATTTTTTTCTCCTTAAAAAAGAAATAACAAAACAAATACATCTCTATTGGAAAAGCTCGTAAAATGCTCAAAAGAACAATCTAGTCCCACCACTCAAAGATGACCGCGGCCAGCATGGCAGTGACCAGCCTCTTGTCTTCCGTTTGCTCCTATAAATTGCATAAATGTGTGTGTGTGTGTGTGTGTGTGTGTGGTGTGTGTACATGTGTACATGTGTCTATTTTTAACTGGGCTCATCATCGTCATCCTAATTTTTTCACCTAACGCTATATCCTGAATGTTTTCCCATGCCATTAAGTAATTTCCCAGTTCGCGATTTTTTTAAATGGTTACAGGGTATCCTAGCAAGTGACTCTATCATAATTGGTTGAGTTTGTCCACTCTTATCAGATACTTAGATGAGTTTAAAAAGTTGGATCGTGTTAGTCAGGGTGAGTGTCTTCGTTCCTTCATGTTCACATTTGTCTCTGATTTGTTCCCTGCAGTTCATTTGGAAAGCGGGATGGCCATGTCGAAAGGCGTGGTTGCCTCCTTAAGCTCTGTACCAACCTACATTCTCAGAATTAGTGTAAGAGGTGCCTGTTTCTCTGGGAGTTATCAAGGTTTCGAACATTTGCCAGTTTGTCAAAGCGTGGTGTTTTCATTCTATTCATTTTCGGTTCTTTTATTACGCTACCCATCTTTATTGGTTCTTCGTATCTGAATTACCACTTCTGGTTCTTCCATTTTTTCATTTTTCATTTAGTTCATTTGATTTAGTTTATTTTAGCTGAAGTCACATGTGTGCATCATTTTAAGAGTTAAATAGTTCTACGAGATTATTTTAGAAGCATGAGTCCTCCGGCTCACCCAATTCCTTCTAATACCCCGCTCTGCCGAAGCAACGGCTTTTACCTTTTTTAACTGATTCTCTTGACATTGACATCCATATTTCTAAGCGACATGCTTATTTTTCTTCGTCTTGACTTTTTAACCATTGATGTTGAGTATTTAACTCTTTCACAAATGCCCGTGGCTTCAGCACACACAAGCACATCTCTGTGCCTCTTTTTCTCAAGATATTTAGTTCACGGTTTTGGTTTGATCAATATTCAGTGTTTACATTATTATAATAGTGTAAACGCTCTTGACAGCTGTATAATTATTTACCTCTTCATAACTTTGTTTTCTCTGGAGTAAATAACTGCTTTTTTTCTTGTTTGTTTCTTTTCCTTCTTTCTTTCATTGTTTTTTTAATGAGCTTATCACAAATTTGTCCTATGCTTCTCAATACATTCAAACTCATTAGTATTTGTTTTCTTTTTAATGTCTTATCATTTGAAGAAGTCTTTTCATGGAAGCCTTCTTTCTTGTTCTATTTTGCATTGGTTGATTTTGGACTTGCTGCTCTTAATTTGGGGTCCTCCTCTTAGGGGTTCATTTGATCCTCTCTCCTTGGTTGGAGTGCGCTCTCTCTCTCTCTCTCTCTCTCTCTCTCTCTCTCTCTCTCTCTCTCTCTCTCGGTTTACTCTCCTGTTTTGCTCAAGTGCATCTTTTAGCAGTTTCCTGAGAAAAGGGTACATGAGAAGTAAATTTTTGGAGACCTTTCATATCTGAAAAGGAAAATGTGTAGTTCACATTGACATTGATAGTTTGGCTGGGTATCGAATTCTGGTTGGCAATCTTTTTTCCCCTTAGATTTTGAAAGCATAAGTAATTGTCTTCTAACTTCTAGTGCTGTTGATGAGAAGTCGGAAGACTTTGTGATTCATCATCCCTTGTGTGTGATCTTTTTCCTCTTTTTCTGGAACTTGTGGGATTTTCTCGTTGTCTTCCAGTGTTTTTAAATGTCATGTGTTTGTAACTTGATGCGGACCTACGTTTATCCATTTCGATGGGCCCTTAGATCTGAAAACTTGTGTTCCTCATTTGTGAAAATTTTTCTCGGACAATTTTTTGGATAATGACCTCCCATCTGTTTTCTTTTTCTAGACCTTATATTGCTTGAATGTTGGATCTCTTTAATTGGTTCTTTAATATTTTCATATTTTTCCTCCAATTGTCAACTCTTTGTTCTCTTCTTGAGAGAGTTCTCTGTCTTCATTTTTTAACCTATTTTCATTTCTGTAATCTCAGTATTTTTTATTATACCCTAAATGTTTTATAACATTTTGTTTCATGGGTGCAATTGCTTCTTTGATATCCCTGATAATATTAATAGGTTTTCTGAAATTTTCTTCTCCCTATAGAGTTTCCAGGCTTTTTTTTTTCTTTCAAGTGTTAGATGCTTTTCACAACTCTCTGGTGGTGTAGATAAATAGATGTAGATGATAAATATATAAAGGATATAGATATCAATGATGTAGATGACAAAGATATAGATTATATAAAACACACATAGAGAAACACTAATGAGCTATTTGGAAGCTCTCGGCACGTGCTTGGGCCTTGTGATGAGTTGTGGGCTTTACTGTAGCGTGAACTCGCTGATCTTTCTCCTGGAGAAGCCCAAGTTTTAGCATTTTTAAAATTTTTTTCCTTTGGACTTCTCAGATGCTTCAAGGAAGATTTTTTTTAGTTTTTAGCCTAGAGCATTTCTAGTGCTAGTGCTCTGGGAGGTTTGTGGAGGAAGATTGGCAGGGGGAGGCGTCCTCAACATCCAGCTTTTGTAAAACTTTGCCTTCTTCTTTTTAGAACTCTTGCCCCCCGTGTGCTTGCTGTCTCTGTTTAAATCCTTTCTGCTTCATTTTCTCCATATTGTACATTTTCAGTCTTCTGTCAGATTCAGGGAAGGTTCTGCACAGTGGGTGAGGATTTGGGGAGCTGCCTTCTTAAACAGACTTTCAGCCAATTTACCTTATTGAGGCCTAGATTTTCTTGCCACAATTGGGTACCAAAGTCTCAATTCCTGAGACTTCCATGCGTTCCCGGAATATATTGGGCTTTATTTCAGCTTTCCTCACTGCCGGTTTACAATTCCCAGTTCTGAGTAATTTACAATTCTTATCTTCGTGTTGTTGTTTCTGTGTATTGATGCTCAAAAGGAAAATCTCTTCACTCTCCTTTAGCAGTTTCAACAAGGGGCGGGATTAGGCAAACATCTCTATTCAATTCACCTTATTGAACTGGAAGTCATTTACCCATTTTTCTCTATTGGTGTGTCCATCTTTTATTTTTATTTTGTAAGACTTTTTAAAATTAGAATAGAAATTGTTTTTCTATCATGTATTACCAATTATTTTTCCCTATTTTCACTTGCCATTCCACTTTGTTCATGGAGTTTTAAATTTTTATTAAAAAAATTATGTTCTAAAAATCTATCTCTAATTTTTTCATAGTTTCTTCTTGTTTAGAAAGACCTTTCTCACCCTGAGCTCATATAGTCACTTTTATTTTTTCTCGTTCTTTAGTGATTTCATCTTTTATATTTGAATCTTCGATCCATTAATTTAATTATTGTGAGAAATAACTATATGTCTCATTCCTGCATTTACCACCTGCTAGATATTTTTATAGTTTTTGTTTCTTGTTGTGGCTTTCTATTATTCTATTAATCTGTCTATTCTTGCACCAGTATTGCTCTGTTTTAATATATTGTATTGTTGTAATGTGTGTTATTATTTGGTAGCAATAGTCTTCCTTCATTCTTATTTTTCAAGATTTTCTTGTTTAGATTCACTTGTTGGTACTTCCAGATGAATTTTAGTGATATTGTGAAGTTAAAATTTGTTATAGATTTTCTATGGAATTTTATAAAATTGTAAATTAAAGAGGATTGATTTTTTTTATTCTTGAGCTTTGCATGCTATTTTGCAGTTTAATATCTACACTCACAATTTGTCAAATTTGACAGAATCACCATTTGTCATTAACTTTATTTCAAGGAATTAAGTATTGCTTCTATTGTGAATTTGTTCCCTTATATTTTCTAGCTGGCTGTTACTGACATGTAGGGAAGAGATGACACGTTTATTGTTATTGGCTGCCTCATTGAATTCTCTTTATTTGTTCCACAAGTTTTTAGTTGAATGTTTTGGAATTTCTAGGTCGAGAGTAATTCATATCTGTATAATGCAAATCTTGCCTCTATTTGTCAATATATCTCTTCTATTTTCTTTCTTGTCTTATAGCATTGGCTAGATCTTCCAAAACATTGAATTTTTGATAATAGAAGTCTTTGTCTGGTTTCTGGTTCACTGTTAAGTATGATAATAAATAACTTTTGGCTATATATTTTTTACAATGCTAATGAAGTATTTCTAGTTCATAAATGACTTTAAAATAGGCGTGAATTTTGAATTTTATGAAATGCTTTTTTGATATCTGTAGAGATATTTGTGTTGTTTTTCTGTCGAGTTGTTGATCCAATGAATTATAACAACGTTTCAAAACTGAAACATTTTTGGATCAAATTCTACCTGGTTATGGTGTATTGTTCTTTTAATATACTACATGATTTGCTTCGCTAGTATTTTATTT